TTCAGTTTATTCTGAGAAATTACTTCTATTTCACTGTTCTTGAATTAAATCTGATCATTTTTCACATCATTTCTCTCAGAAATGATTCATTTTCAGATTTTTTTAAGGCTTGATTCTGATGGGACTCACATCAAGAAATGTATGAGACCAGACTAAATGAAATCAAATGTGAAATTCATAGTCTCAGCGGCCAGTCTAAGTACTATAATGATACTTGTTATGAGAATGAGAAGTCATCGTCAGAAATGTGTATAATGTAATAGATAAACAGATAGAGAGTGTTAAACAGAAGAAGAGATAGAAATCTGAGATAAGATAATAATGTTTGATAATGATGATGATGAAGAAGATGATTAAAGAATGAAAAAAGTTAGTTAATAAGTGATGTAATATAGTGAAAGTTTCTTTGTAAGAGTGTATGCAGAATGCTAGTCAAATCAGAAATAGGCTACACTATTGCAAACACTAGTGGCGCGCTAATCCGCATGAAGCTAGAGTGTACATTATGATCACATGAGCGTGACTGAATCTGATGAGAGAGGATATGATTTGAAAGAACATACAACCGCCGGATAATAATGCAGCTGCTTCTGAACAAAGAGGCTCTAGCGGCCACTAATTAATTTAGATAATGTATATAAGAAGCCGGCGTACGCCTGTAATCGTACGCTGGCTCAAGCAATCTTTAAGTTATAAATGAGATATTAAAGCTTGTCATAATATGTTTACTTATTTAATATTTTCTTCATAAGATATTCAGTATTACTCTTAATCTCAATATTATTCAGCTGAGACAGCTCTGCTCTGAGACATTACTTATAGAGCTTTAAATAGAAAATGTGAATAATAGAATGAATTGATTACAATTCTGAGAGTAATTTCAACTTGTATAGCTGCTTATTCATTACTGCTATTACTGAGAAAGATTCTAGTCACTACTTACTGAGCTTCTTATATAGTCTCATTATCTTGATATTTTTTACTGAAAGTAGCACTTGATTCTCTATTAAGAACTTCATTGAAAGATGTTTTTAATTATAGTATTTCATCTACTACTTCTGAGTGTGATGAATGCTTTTTACTGTCTTCTTATCAATTTTATTTAAAAGTTTCAATCTCACTTTTACTTCTGATACTGAGAAATACTCTGTTCTCTGTATCTATTTAATTATTATTATTATTATTATTATTCTTCAATTATAGATGTATGCAGTCAGAGACTATGACATCTACCTGAGAATCTTTAGTTCTCAGGGTTTTTCCTATATCTATAGAGTCAACTATTATATATTTATCAATTTCAAATATGCAAAATCAGAAAATTCCAGCTCAGAATACAAAAACTGTTTACAAATTGCAGTATTTCAACACCTTCTGATACTTTGAAACCATTTGAAAATATTATGACAAAGGAAAAGAGAACATAGTCTTAAAGATAGACACATTAAATAGATAGATAGAAAAGAACAGAAGGAAACAAGTACAGTAAAGAGAGACTATAACAAAATAAAATTATTAAAAGATAATATATAGCTGTTTTAACAGACTATATCTAATCAATTTTCACCTCTTCATATTCAGATACTTCTGAATTCAGTCATTTTCTTGTAGCTGCTTTAGTTTCTGATAGAAAGTCTATTAAGTATTTAATTCCTGTCTCAGTTAAGAATAAGAACCTCATATTTAATTGATTTAAATCATACTTCTTCTTTAATCTGACTCTGAGACTATTGTATAATGTACAATGCATTACAATATACTCAGAATTTTCATTCACATTGCAGAATGAGCACTCTGTTGAATCAAATCTATCATCAAATCTTTGTATATAGAATTTGAAATAACCATGTTCTAGTTTCAGCTGAATTATAGATGAGAATATTTTCTTTTTACATTTAATTGAACAAGATTTTCACTTTGGTTTTGTCTCAAATCTTGAATAATGTATGCTCTTCTTTTGTTTCTGCCAGCTTTCATTTCACTTGTTTAAACAAGATTCTTTTATCTTTCTC